ACAAAATGTGCGACAAAGATTGAACCAAGCAAATCAAGCTCAGCGTGACATGCACTAACTGCGTGCAATGACTGTCTGAAAACCCTGGTTGCAACAAAACCAAACCAAACATCGGCTGACAAGGAGCATGTCCTGCAGTAAAGATTGCGGACTGCACTTGAATGGGATGAATCAAACAACAGCCAATCCCAAATCCAGCGCCGCCAATCACCAACGTAAGGTAATCAAATGTTCTAGCAACAACACATTCTTGGGCAGCCCCCATGCCTAACGTCACGTTTTATTTCAGACGCCAAGCAGTCGACAGTTGCCCGGAAGGCTGAGCAGCTGTCTATCTGACAGGCTGGCAGCCTTGTCGCTTTGTGTTTCACGCCCTTGTTGGGAAGGTCTGGCGTGTTAGTATTAGCCACCATGAATGCTGCTCGCGGCAAGTGACACACCCCAAACCCTAACGACACTGGGGCTGCAATCGACTCCAAGCAAGCGCTGACGCCGCAATGATACATGCGGCAACGGGGATGAATGACGATCCCGCACGTGAGCAGTTTTGGCCCGCAGCGTCTTCTACAGGCCTATGCGGCCGCACCCACGGTCCAACGCGCTCAAGTGCTCCTTCTGTCCGCCGACAGCAGCCGCATGCATATAAAGCCAACGCCACATGCAACAGCTCCCAGCGCCGAAACAATCCGCCCAAAATATTGCAGATCATGAAAGTCTGCTATCCACTTTCGAATCCGACATCCCACCTCCTGTTTGGGTCGCCCCTCGTCATGTGCGCACCGGAACGTCGACAAGAAAGCGTAGCAACGCTCAGAGCCAGGTGGCTCACTTTGTAAGCTGCATGGCACGGCCTTTTCACGCTCTATCTTCTCTCCAGCTGGCAAACTGTTGGCCTAATACTAGCGATGGCCAAGCATGGAATTGCCCAAGCTGGGTGAGCAAAGTGCGGAAGGGACATGCTTGGCCATCGGAGTCATGCACGAATTTACTCTGCCCAAATTGTGACTCACCGATCCAACATGAGGAAATCTACAACATTCTGCATGTCATGAGTCATAAACCGGAAACCAGGACTCCAAAGAAACAGCATTCAGCACGTCTCTTTGCATGTTTAGTTCTCATGCCGCTAAACTTCGCAATGGCGCATTGGGCGGCTCCCAAATATTGATCTCCTTCGCTTCACCGAGGATCTTGGGCGAATTGGTCATGCGAACACGGTGTCGGCAAGACCTGCAGTGCGGAACATGGCTTCAAAGACACATCATCATCACCATCACCACCATCATCATCATCATCATCAACATCATCATCATCTTCGTCATCAAAACCTTCAGCATCAGCATCAGCATCATCATCACCACCAGCACCACCATCATCATCATCAACACCCTCAGCATCACGATGATGATGTTGTTGATGATGATTATGATGCTGATGCTGATGCTGATTGTGTTGATGATGATGGTAGTCGTGGTGTTGATGATGCTGATGGTGTTGATGATGATGATGGTGTTGATGATGATGATGGTGGTGGTGGTGCTGCTGCTGACGCAGATGCGGATGCGGATGCTGATGCTGATGCTCATGCTGATGGTGTTGATGATGATGGGGTGGTGGTGACGGTGATGATGCTGATGGTGTTGATGGTGGTGGTAGTCGTGGTGATGGCGATGATGCTGATGGTGTTGCTGCTGGTGGTGGTGGTGGTGTGGTGGTGGTGGTTGTGGTTGTGGTTGTGCTGGTGGTGGTGGTGGTGGTGGTCGTGGTGGTGGTGGTGGTGGTGGTGGTGGTGCTGGTGCTGGTGGTGGTGGTGCTGGTGGTGGTGGTGATGTTGATGATGCTGATGGTTTTGATGATGACGATGATGGCGGTGGTGGTGCTGCTGCTGATGCTGATGCTGATGCTGATGGTGTTGATGATGCTGATGATGTTGATGATGATGCTGATGCCGATGGTGGTGCTGCTGCTGATGCTGATGCTGATGCTGATGGTGTTGATGATGCTGATGATGTTGATGATGATGCTGATGCCGATGGTGGAGGTGGATCATCATCATCATCATCATCATCATCATCATCATCCTCCTCGCCACCATCAGGAGCACCAAACTCTTTCTCTTGACACGTTTGCCAGCCTCTCAAATTGCCCCATGCCAGACATCGAGCTCCGCGCTGGCTGCTTGCGACAACATCAGCACCGGGGTTTGTTCCTCAGGCGAACGGAAGCTGCAACGTGAGCACCATGCTGAACTCGATTTCAGCTTCCAATCCACAACCCCCTCAGAAAAAAAAAAAAAAAAAACCTAAGCTTCCATTTGCTTAAGCCTGCAAATAACAAATGTCCAGTAGTGATACATTCCCTCTACAAACCAACAAGAGAAAATAACAACATATTCTTAAGCAAATGGATGTAAGGACTCAGTGGCTTCATAGTGGCTTACCCCACAAAACCCGGTTGGGGGGTGGCTTTGTGAACTATCTCTGTCTCTTGGATGTCAAAATCGGAGACCCTTTTTTGGCTTTTGGTTGTAACACAGCACGAACCGCAAACAAACCACCGGGTTCACGCGCATGTCTCAAAACCACTCTCTCAAATCGATCTCAAGGTTCCTTACTGGGAGCTTCCCTTTCTGGTCTGAGTACCCCAAGAAAAGCCAAGGGCATAAAAGACATGTTGGCACCCCTATCTTCCAGTAGAGCGCGACTGGACAGGTTCCGGCCACCTTTCTGGGCGATTTTGATGAGTTTGAAGATCTCAAAGGGCCTAAACAGACAATTAGATGACTGATGAGCCACATTCTTGTCCCATGGTGAGATACTTTGGTTTGGTCATACCCCACCACAATACTCCGGTCAGCTTGGCGATTAGAATAGCGCAAATGCCCGCGTGCCTTTTCTGCCACCCACAGAGAGAGAGAGAGAGAGAGAGAGAGAGAGAGTGAGCGAGAGAGAGAGAGAGAGAGCTTTCCCTCCCCTCCGAGAAAAGAGCCGCAACTACACAATGGGAACAGCTAAACTGCATCTGCATTACGTCCAAAACTGGGCTCCCTACACTGCCCCCTTGAACATCACCCCAAGAAGATCAGGCGCAATTGGCCCAGCGAGCGACGCTTAAACTGGCGTTCAAGGGAGAGGACACACACCCAATGTCTGTCTTTGATCACCTGGAAACCATCAAGGGCCCCGGCAGTGATGGTTTGATGGCTCCGGAGGGGTTTCCCGTTTACCCTCTACAAGAACCAGGCGTTGAAATCCCCAAACCACCAATCCAAAACCACCAATTAGGCTCACTTCCTGAGCGGACCGACCCAAAAAAGCAGTCTGATCTTCTTGTTTCCCAACTGGTCTTGCCAAGTGTCTAAAGCCCAGGAACTCAGGAAGTGAGTAGGGGTCACCTGAAGCCACCAGGGCCCCCCCCAAAAAAAAATGATGAAAAAAGCCCCCCCCCCAAAAAAAAAGTCGGAGAAAAAAAGAAAAAAAAAAGAAAAAACAACTAAAAAGACTTCGAGCCCAGCCCAGCGGCCACCCCTTGGAAGTGCTCCTTCAGCCCGGCCGTGATGCTCTCCAGCGCCTGCCGAGTCGAGTGCAGCCCGGGCGATTCCAGCCCCAGGGGCCCGGGGATTTTCCCGCGGGCGGTTTTCCCGGCCAGAGATGCCAAGGCTGCGGCATCCAGTCTCGCACCATAGGAAACCAATGGTTGAAACCCTGGTTGGCATTGGGGAATCAGAAACAAGGGGGTTTCTGAACGGTGGTGCAGGAGTTCGTCCACTGTGTCACATCGATTCCCTGAGTTTGTTTGATGTTTGTTTGGCCATGGTTGAAAAAACGCAAGAGGTAGCGAACAAACCATAATTGAGTGTACCCTTTTTGCGGTTTAGGGGGAAACCAAAAGCCAAACACCTGTTTTGGCTTCTGGCGACACCGGTCGGGGGCGAACATGACCGTGTAGATGTCTTGGGGGAACTACAGTCCTGGGTCCAAGGACACACATCACGTACCAGGGGACCTGAGAATAAAACTTGCCCATGATCCATCATCCACACGGGTATTCCCCCCCTGTTGCCCCCAAAAGAGGGGAACCCTCAAAAAAGACGGTGACAGACGCAATTGTAGCGTAAGCCACCTCTTCCGTGTCCAGAGATGTGGCCAGACCTTGAATCCAGGAACCATCGTCAGGCACCTGCAAGGCCACAGAGCCAGCTAGCCGCACGTTAAAAGACCACCAAATGATGGTAGCTTCCCGCAACAACTCGGGGCTTAGCTTCTTTCTTTCTTGTAATTTTATTTTATTCTCTTTTCTTTTCTTCTCTTTTCTTTTCTTCTCTTTTCTTCTTTCTTTCTTTCCTCTCTTCACATCGTTTTGGAGGCATCCACCTGCCCACTTTGCCACTGACCGGCAAAAATCGGGACTCCCTGCCTGCTGCTGCTGGCCAACCTCGGAGTCTCAGGGGACCAGCGCGCAAAACCAACTCACGGCACCTAAAAAACGAAGAACAAAAAACAATCAATGCAGCGACGGCTGTGTCAGGACCATAGGTAAATGGACCCTTTTGGCGAAAAAATCGATGGGTTTTTTGGGTAAATGGGCCACAAGGCCCATCTAAACCGGTTGAACCCATCTATTTCTAAGCGAAAAGGACACCTGTGGTCAGGAAGTTTCGGGCAAGGGACCTTCAAAGCTGAGTTTGTCTTGCCAGGTAACTTGCCAAGATTCGATACAGCCCTTGAGGGCTATGATCCCATGAGCGGACCTACCACGCTCTGTGGGCCGCATTGTTTTTTCTCCCACGCGCGTTGCATCTCAACGCACCAAATGAGCCGGGCAGGTGGTCAGGTCGACCTTTTCTCAATACAGCCGTCCCAAAACCGTGAATCCGGGACAACCACGCCCCCCAAACTGCCGCTGACCTGTCGCAGCTGACCTCATGTCACCTGAAGTGGATTGCTTTGATCCATGCGGATCCGTTGAACCCGAGGCCCAACCGGCGAGGAATCGCAGGCCTACGCGGCGAGGCAGCCTGGCGAGTCTCGAGGACTCATGTTGACAGTCACATGTCAGGCTCCAGGTTAGGTGGGAGGGTATACCCTGGTAAATAGAATCAAGGACCAAACCCTGCGGTCCATATCCCCGTTGAGTCTTGACCCACACAACGACTTTTCTGGGAGGATTGAAACCCGAAACCTCCGAAAAAATACAGAGAGAACCCTGACAGACTCTTGCTAAACCATCAATCGAGTAGTGCTCATTCTCAGGTCCAGAACCCCAATCTGACCAATCCAGCCTAGCAAGAGCAAGAGCGTCATCGCTTGCCTCACGCGGCTCAGCACCACAAATACCCAAACAAACGGAGTGGAGTACATGTCTTTTGTATGAGTCTAGTCTACATGAGAATTTCTCAATATGGTGGATCCAAATTTTGGTAGGTGTTCAAGGGAAAGCAAAAAGGAAACCACCCATTTTGCGCTTTCCCAGTTTTGAGAAACACCTGCGTAGTATAGTTGTATACCCCATGTGTCGTTTGGGGGAGGCTGTTTGGAGTAGTGGAAGCCCTCCTGGGCAAAACAAATAAAATGCAAAGGGACAACAAGAATCAGAAGCAGCTGAGAAGATGAGCCAAGGTGGAAACAAAGAGAGTGCAATTCGCTGTATCCTGTCTTTGGTTCCTGTTTGTTTGTACCCTCGATGTCAGTTTGCAGGAAACTGAGTTGTTTTACTATGAGTTTACATCGGCGCACGCTGTACAAGCATGTGTTTGACGTTTGTGTGTGTGTGGGTTTGGGTATACAGCAGGGTGATGTGCAGGCCAAAGCTGCACAGCGTGTATTGATATGGTTGCCAATTGATGATCGGTTTGGTGTTCGATTCGGACGAGTTGCTCCTTTCTAACCATTGCGGTTCAAGAGGCTATTTGCGACAACTATAGCCAGAAGGCAGGCGCATCTTGTGTAACACTACTACCTTCACCTTTGCTGCAGCTTGAAGACATCTCATCATGAAATTCATAGGAGAATCCCTCGAGTGTCTCGCCCTAGAAAGGATTGCCGGTCGACCGATGTGCTTTCAGGCGCGAATTAGCATGGCAAACAGCATCGTCCAGTCGTGACCATGGTCCAATTCAAACCAGCCAGGACAAAAGTGGAATGGAGGTCCATAGGCAAATGGGCAGGCAGTGGACCCATTTGCATGTTTGAGACTCGAGAGACCTGCATTTGCGTCAGCACCCTGGACAAACAAGCTGTAGTGATGAAAATAACAGGGGGGAAATTAAAGCAACAAATTCAAGGAGCTTTTGGGGTCTCGAGGGAGAATTGGACGAAGTGATTCCAAAAAAAAGTAGGAGTTCCCAAAATGGAAACTCGTGGATGGTTTCAGGGCAAGTGACGGGGCATCCGCCAGCCCATTTGCGGCCCCTTCACCAAATCACAAGGCTGTTCTGCAATGTTCACAACGAACTGTTGGGTGAACTCAGCTGAAACGGCCACCTCCATTTGCTGTTTCGCCCCCTGGACAAAAAGGGAACACTGTCCAGCAATGATAGACCCCCTTCAAAAAAAATAAAAAAGACAAATAGAACACGGTCATTTCACCAAAAAGAAACAAGCTTGCAACTCTCGACCTCATGGTGGGAAGCTCGCCTCTGGTGGGCCGCGCTCTTTGGCGGACCGCCGGCCTCGGAAGCTGACAGCAAGCCGGAAAGCCGTTCACCTTTGGAAAAGGGGAAAGAACCTGCGGTTACCAAAATTGGACTTGGTCACCAATGCATCTTGTTTGATATCTATGAACTTCGTGATTCTCCTCATCCAATGTGCTTCCAAGTCCTTTTGGCCCACGTTGCAAGCCCCAAAAGCGCGGCAAGACGAGACACTCACAGACGCCGAAAGGTCTTTTCGGGTTGCGATTCGGTCACCAGCAGACCAGAGGAAAACTGGCTGGTCGCAACCTCCAAGGACTTGTTTCTTCCATGTCCCAAGCCCCAAGTGGCCAAAAAGCAGTCGTTGGTCACCATTTTGTCACCAGACCTGTGTACCGGTAAGGCCGGTACGGGTCAGGGGGGGTTCTCCACCTGTGGATCTACCCTCAGGATCCACGGCTGGGGCGTGCAAACATAGATGAAAGGATGGCAGCACATATGGCTCTGCCTCTAAACAGGGAACCCAGAATGTATGGTCTCAACTTTCAGCCCAACGAAAACGAACCCCTTTGAATGGGATGTCGCTCAAGGTGAATGTTGCGCTGGATCGGTGGGAGTCAACCTGGGCGCCTCGGGGGTACTATGGGTTGCTGCGAGTTGGGTAGGTTGATGGGAGTGATGATGAAGCTCTCCTGAGAAGATGCAATCCTCCATGAGGCACTTCCAACTGAGCACCCTGCGGCGTCGTCCCCTCCTGGCGGCAAGTTTCAATGACCAGTGGCGAAGCTTGAGCGGCCAATGTGTCCACACTATTTTCAGGCATGGCCATAGGCTGGTGCCTGTTGACAAACTGGGTCGACCAGGGCCATCTATTTTCTACCACAACAACCAAAAAGGACAACTATGGGCATGGTGTGTTTTTTTTTTTACAAAACAGCTCTGATGACGGGCGAGCCCGGAAACGTTCCCCGCTGAGCTGGCAAACATGTTGCCCAGAAGTGTGGCTGTCATACCACAAAATGAGTTGGAATAGAGGTTATGCATGCCTCTATGAATGGCAATGGCAAACAGTGGTCCCAAAACATACCTGAAAATTCCCTCAAACATTACTTGTTCCCCGTGAGGACATGTGGCCCCTGGCTTCTATGGAAAATGTGGGTGGGCCTTTCCCAGACCTACTTGAGTCAAGCAAGTCTAAAGCAGATGCTTGAACTGTAGTAGCAACTCTCTTATTAGTGTATTTGCACGTTGCGCCTTGGGCTTGTCAGCTCCGTGCGACAGTGGCAGTTTCTTTCTCCGAACGCTTGCAAGTGTGCCTTCCAAACCTACCAAACAACAACGGGGTGTCCAAATCAAACAACTGCCAATATTATTGGTACAGTAGTACTTTGTTGGTGGGGGAGGACCGGACGAAATGCACAATTTGTTTCAGCCTAGCACAGTTTGCGCGGCAGGATGCTTAACATCGAGAAACTGAGGGCACCATGGCAAGGCAGAAGCACCTCGCGCAGGGACCGATGCACGCGTTTCATGGAAGCAGGGCAAACGCGTGCTGAAGAAGTAGTTGAAAGCAAGAAGAAGTCCCAAGCAAGAAGCAGTCCAAGCAATGGAGACCCCTTTCAAATGGCGCGTAAGACGCAACCACAACCAATCCAACCACTTCCAGAGCTCCCTGGTTTTGGAACGCCATATATCAATGGGCTTTGCTTGTCGGCACGCACATCTGTGAAGCTGCTGAGGGGCAGGCTTGCTCTTGTATCCGCATGTCCCCCTTAGCTTAGCGCCAACCAAAGGTATGGTAGAACTGGCATCTCCTTTATGGATGGAAACAAGCAAGTGAAGTCCCAAGCTTCTTTGATCTGTTCCTTTTGGGGTTGCTGATCTCATTGACAGCTGCCCATCTGGAGCCTTCCTAGAGTGCTCTCAGATTGAGCGTTCTCAAAACATCGACCCAACTTGCATGGAATTTGGAGGGCATTCAAGGATCAACCCATCCATTATTTGTCTGAATCAAAAGAGATTTGGCCAAAACAAACAAGGGTGATTTTCGGAGGGACTGGAGGGACATGGAAAGCAAAAGACATGGCGACTCTGTACTCTTCCCGCGTTCATTGGAGATAACGGCAAACGGTGGGCGGTTGTGAAATCCTCTTCACCGTTCAGAACCCTGAAATGATTAAACTCCCCAACGCAAATACCAACAAACGTTCTGGCTTCAACCATGCATTCAAAGTGGCGCGAAGCGATTTTCGTCCACCCACAGTATGTTGACTGCTCAAATGGGGGGGGGGGTGGTTGAGGCAGACTCTCAGCGAAACTCGCGCCTTGCTCCTGGCCGTTCTCGTTCGGCGGAGGCCCGCCGTTCTGGACAAGGGGGGGGTCTTTTGAATCGCGCCGAGTCATAGGCTGCACCAATTTGCCAGGTTTATCCCAGCATTCGGGTCAGGTGGAAAACTCTGGGGCCTCTAGCGCTTCGCAACCTCACTTTATGTTGTTTGTCCGCGTTTCGTTTCCCGCCTTCCGCCCGCTCACCTGCCCAATGAGTCCGGAATCACATGCTTCGCCCTCAGTTCTCCAGAAATGGCGCGAAGCCTTGTTGGTTCCACGCGGATGTCAATTTCCACAAGGAAACAAAGTAGTTGCTAGTATTCTTGCATTCGCATTCTCACATGCGCCTGCGCGACCGTAGGCACTAGTTGTAAGGCAGGATCGTCTTCTGGACGGCTCAACTTGCGCCCTGTCTGCGCTTGAACGTCCATTTGCCAAAACCTACACATGACGGGCGGAGGCTGCTCTTCCGCAGAGTCGGACGTAGTTGGGCAGTCATGTTGAGTGCGTAAGTGGTAAGCTGCAAGCACAGCCTGGCTGAGAAAGGGAGAGAGGGAGAGAGAGAGAGAGAGAGAGAGAGAGAGAGAGAGAGAGAGAGAGAGACCAGCCTCCGAGAAAAACAAAAAAACATTGAGCCGGCCAAGCCTCTTCGAGTTCTCTCAGCATTTGCAATAAATGCGAAGAGTTGTACAACACGACAAGGCAGTCGGATAAGCTTCAGAAGCAACTTCTCCACGAAATGTTTCTGCTACGTCAGCAGCGGCCGCCTCTTCTGAAGCTGCTACATGTCTGAAGTCCTGCAGCCCACAACTCAAAACGCCAGGAATTTCACCAGGCAAAACATCTTCCCCGCACAGCTCTTGCAACCGGAAAGCTCGATCCCTCTCCGCCACAGATACCACAGTTGTCTCTGTGGCAGAGACTGAGGCCTCGCGGCACCATTCGTTTCGCGCAGGCTGAAACTCACCGAGCCAGTCCAAAGCGCCACGCTCGCCTCCGTACGCGTCGAAGGCCGGCCTCGGCCTCGTATCACTTGATCAATCAAGCAGCCCTCGAGTGATCTTAGTCGCATTGCGGCTTCGTCGTGAACGCGCGTCAAGTACACAGGTGTTGACGAGCAGATGTCTGATCATGACTCTAGGTTGGATGCAACAAGCATAGCCTGCCTCATGGTCGGTGACTTCTATAATCATCTCGCAAAAGCAATCTCGAACTCGATTGATGTGGCTATGATGTTTTTTAGGGGTCTGTAACGCGCGACGCGCCACGAATCTTGTTACGGAGGTCTGTAAACGGAGGTCCTTGTTACGCAGGTCTGTAACGGGACAAACATTTCCTGACAAGCAGTATCAGTAGCACAATGTAGCGCAGCACAACGAGGTATGTAATGGCTATGTAACGAGGTCTGTAACGAGGCAAAGCGCAGGACGCAAAGCGCGCCTCCGCAGCTCCAGCTTGATTGCAGCTACTCAACGCAAGCCAAGCTGCGGCGAAAAGCAGGGTTGCTGGCCCTGGCTGGGGTTGGGACTGGAACGAGGTATGTAACGGCTATGTAACGAGGTCTGTAACGAGGCAAAGCAAAGCGCAGGGACGCAAAGCGCGCAGCTCCAGCTTGATTGCAGCTGTTCAACGCAAGCCAAGCTGCGGCGAAAAGGGGGGGTCGCTGGCCCTGGCTGGGGTTGGGTCTGGAACGAGGTATGTAACGGCTATGTAACGAGGTCTGTAATGAGGCAAAGCGAAGCGCAGTACGCAAAGCGCGCCTCTGCAGCACCAGCTTGCTTGCAGCTGTTCAACGCAAGCCAAGCTGCGGCAAAAAGGGGGGGTCGCTGGCCCGGGCTGGGGTGTAACGAGGTATGTAACGGCTATGTAACGAGGTCTGTAACGAGGCAAAGCGAAGCTGGCCCGGGCTGGGGTTAGGTCTGTAACGAGGTATTGAACGGCTAGGTAACGAGGTCTGTAACGAGGCAAAGCAAAGCGCAGCACGCAAAGCACGCCTCCGCAGCTCTATTCAACGCAAGCCAAGCTGCGGCGAAAAGCAGGGTTGCTGGCCGGGCTGGGGTTGGCTCTGTAACGAGGTATGTAACGGCTACGTAACGGGGTCTGTAACGAGAAAAAGCAAAGCACAGTTTGCAAAGCGCGCCTCCGCAGCTCCAGCTTGCTTGCAGCTACTCAACGCAAGCCAAGCTGCGGCAAAAAGAGGGCAGTCACGTCACTGGCCTGGTTTGTTCACCTGAGGTGTGTAACGAGGGTGTGTGACGAGGGGTGTGTAACGCGGGGTGTGTAACGAGCCAGCTGGTCTTGTTGCAGAGGTCTGTAGCGAATGTCCGCCGCGGCTTTGTTACAGACCCCTCAAAAAAAATCGCTGCCATGTAGGTATGACTAATCACACGAAGGCTCTACTGCAAAATCCTTGCACCAGCTTGCCACGCTCCTGTCTGAAAAGACCTTCGCAAAAACCATATGTTCTCGATTCTGACTTCTACTTTTGCTGCCTGAGCCTTCTGCAGCCTTGCAAAGCAGGGTTCTTCATTTTCAAATATGAGGCTCGCTTTGGGTGCTGGGATCTAGTCTGCACTTTCCCAATCTAGCGGCCAGACCAGGACAAATCGACCACGCCTTCTTGCTGACATAAACACATTTTTTGACACTCAACTCAGCTTCTCGGCAACATCCTGGCGGTTCCAACCCCAAGCCTGTTTTTTGAGCTCCATGCTACCTGTGAAGCACAGACCCCTTCCTCTCTTCCTGCATCCAAAACAAGTCCCAGGAACTGCTCGTCGAAGCCCCATAGAAGTCACAAAGCGACTGAAGTTCCAAGCGGAACTCGAAAACTGTGCGCTTGTGCACTCGCGCATGCGAAGAAGAATAAAAAAAGGACCCCTAAGGGTCTCGATTGTTTTTGGGCCTTCAAAACTGGTTGCTTTCAAGGGCTCCTGAATTGGTCAGGGTTCTCCATTGGAGGGTGCGGGGGTGTGCATTGGGTCACGACCCTTAGGGAAGGAAAAAAGCGAGGCCTGCTGCTGGCCGTTCGGCTGCGCTCCCTGCTGGCCGGGCTGGCCATTGGCTCCCTGCTGGCCGGGCCCGGGTGCCTGAGTCGCGCAGGTGGATATGTGGACTGGGGAAAAATGTGTCTGTGACACCGCTTCTTTGAGACGTTTGAGAAAGGAAGCCAAAAGGACACCAACCATTTTGGTAACTATGTTTCTTTTTTCCCGAAAGCATGGCGAAGGGTCGCTGGGTTCACTTGAGTTGTTCTCATGAGAGTCATTACAAGGTGTCATTGCAAGGAATCATCATCATGAAAGTCAATGCAAGGAGTCATTGCAAGGAGTCATTGCGAGGAGTCATTGCAAGGAGTCATTGCAAGGAGTCATTGTCATTGCAAGGAGTCATTGCAAGGAGTCATTGCAAGGAGTCATTGCAAGGAGTCATTGCAAGGAGTCATTGCAAGGAGTCATTGCAAGGAGTCATTGCAAGGAGTCATTGCAAGGAGTCATTGCAAGGAGTCATTGCAAGGAGTCATTGCAAGGAGTCATTGCAAGGAGTCATTGCAAGGAGTCATTGCAAGGAGTCATTGCATGAGAGTGTCAAAGGAGTCAAGTGCAAGTTGCAAGTGCAAGGAGTCAGGTGCAAGTTGCAAGTGCAAGGAGTCAAGTGCAATTGACTTGCGAGGAGTTAAAATCTCTTCGTAGTGCCGACGACACTACACGAAAATCGACCCTCTGCGGGGATCGGCGTGGTCGAGGTGCAAAAACCCATGGTTTTTTGCGATTTCTAAATGCCCGCGCGACCCTCTGCGGGGATCGGCGTGGTCGAGGTGCAAAAACCCATGGTTTTTTGCGATTTCCAACATGCCCGCGCGACCCTCTGCGGGGATCGGCGTGGTCGAGGTGCAAAAACCAATGTTTTTTTTTGCGATTTCTGCGGTGCTCGCGCGACCCTCTGCGGGGATCGGCGCGGTCGAGGTGCAAAAAACCATGGTTTTTTTTGCGATTTCTGCGGTGCTCGCGCGACCCTCTGCGGGGATCGGCGTGGTCGAGGTGCAAAAACCCATGGTTTTTTGCGACTTTTGTTGTTCGAACTGGTCCTCGGGAGTTGTCTCGTGGTTCGCGCGCCTGCTCCCGGAACCGGCGGGTCGCGGGTTCGATTCCTCCCTGGTCCGCGGGCGGGCGTCGCAAGATGCAACTTGCATTTTAAAGCAACTTGCGCAGAGCAACTTGCGCAGAGCAAGTTGCACAGAGCAACTTGCGCAGACCAACTTGCACCGACCAGTTTGCGCAGAGCGCCTTGCCTAGAGCAACTTGCGCAGAGCAACTTACGCAGAGCAACTTGCACAGAGCAACTTGCACAGAGCAGCTTGCACAGAGCAACTTGCAGGGAGCGCAATTTGCACAGAGCAACTTGCAGGGAGCCACTTGCAGGGACCAACTTGCCGGAGCAACTTGCGCGGAGCAACTTGCGCAGAGCAACTTGCACAGTGCAACTTACGTAGAGCAACTTGCGCAGACCAACTTGCACCGACCAGTTTGCGCAGAGCACCTTGCCTGGTGCTGTCTCGCGCTTGCTTCACAAATGCTTCGTGGAGGGAAAAAGAACGCATCCTGCAGCATTGGGCCGACCTCACTTGCGATGTTATGCTTTCGGGCCAACCGTCTAGTTTTGGGGGGGGGCCCTGAAAACGACACCCCCAACTACCCTCCCACAAAGATAGAAGCTGACAGAACATCCCTAGACCCTAGAGCAAAATGGCCTTCAGGTCTCCGTGATGGTTCTTGGGAGGGCAATTCTTGGAGCCACTTTCGTGGTAAGGGAATACCCTCTAAACTTCTAAAGTAACAAAGCAGTCATAGGCATAGCCCACTTGGCCTCACAGGGGTGATTTTCCAGCATCTGAAGCCCGAAAAGGGATGCCTTGTGGCCATACTGGGCTCCAAGCCAATGGAAAGCTGAAAATCACGTGGAACCCCATTTGACCATCCTGTCACTTTCCTTTTGGGAACTCCATCAAGGGGCCCACGAAAATCCCCCAAATGGCATGGAGCTCATCGTGGCTTTGAACCTCTGACCCCCCAATCTCGCCGAGGCTCCATTCCTCTCGCCTGAGCGTCCTGAGAAACATCACATCTCAGCTCTAAGCCACATCGCCCTGTTCACACTGCCCATGCTAAAATCTAACGACACGCTGAGGCCAACGAATGTTTTGCACTAAAGCACATCCAGAGGGAGCATCTGCACTTGGCCCAGCGATCTTTGATGCCGACCCAAAAGCGAGTTGCTGAGCTGAAGGGACCTCACGCGGCACATAAAGCTGACGAAAGCCCGCCGAGACTTCGGTCTGCGCGGGGAAAAAAAAGAAAACGCGCGGGCGTAAAACGAAATGGGGGTTTGTGGCGTGCGAGCAATAAAGGGGAACCACCCAAAATGTAGCGTATGTAAACCAACTTGGGTGAATGGGTACCCATGGTACCCTCCAATTCG